TGCGCAACTGGCGCGGTAATCGCCGTCCGCAGAGCCACCATGACCGAATGCTGCGCCACCGCAGAGGCCCCATGAAGAGCCCTCAAGACCATCTTAACGCCAACGTCCTCACCAATGATTCTACTCCCACCTCCATCCTGTCGCCAACGATTCAACACGAGAGAGGCCACCAAGTCCCTCCCAGCTGAGGTCAGGTCGCCTTCTTTGCATACACGTATAAGATCATTTGCCGCATCCTCCACATCAGCCGCACTGTAGATGACAGCACTGATGCATCTTTGAATGGAATCTGGGCTCCCCGCATCCACAGCTTTACGCAGGGCCATGGACACACTCCCAAGAGACAAGAGGAGCCCCACAACCTGCTCGCCACCGGCGGTGACTCCGCCAGTAGTCGCCTCAGCTGCCCCTTCGGGTTGCTGTTGACTCCGACCATCCAGTGAGAGGAGGAGTTGAGAGGCTACTGCCTGCCTATTATAGCGGACGCATATACGCGCCATGGCGGCTAGGGTGGTCGATGACGACCTCAGGGGATCTGCCGAGGACGCACCAACTGAGGCTGCGAGACACTGTTGAGGGAGGAATCTAAGGTCGAAGATGGTAAGATACAAAATAGGTCCGGTTGAGACCCCTACTTCATCTTCTCCATAATAGCGCTGAGTATTTCCCTATCGGTCATCCTCGCACTATCAGGCGAGGCCAGGAGAGCATCTACCCAATTTTCCACTGCTGATGAGGGATCGCAACCGAGCCACTCGGCGATTCTGAGAGCAATGAACATTTCCAAGATGGTGCCAGGAACTACCATAGGGATGTGTACACGTAAAAGTTTCGGAAAAAAATTCTCCTTGGTTTTTTTTTACACTTCTACCCCAAATCGTCCGAAAATGTTCCATAATGTAGCTGTGGGAACTCCCGAACTCAACCGCCAATCCTGCCATGCTCACCTAAACGCCAGCAGCTGCTGCCCTGGTCTAACTGCAACTCTCGCTACCACTCCCGATGGTGACAGCAATTTCACCTGTGTCACCGTAGCCGGCATATACACAGGAGCCTGTGCCAGTGCCGTGGTGACACGTATGTACGCAGCCGCAATAACAACAGCTTTCGAGATCGCCGGCATTCCCCCCGCCGTCGGAGTAGCCTGCAGGAACCTCCTCCCAAACTGAGCCGCCTTCATCAACCCCTCAACACGCTGTTGAGCCTCTCGCGTAATCGCCGGGGTCTCTGCCGTCGCCGCCTCGATACACCCCATCACAGCACGCTGTAGTTCCGCACTAGAATTGCTACCGCCCCTCAGTGAACGTACCGACAATTCCGAGCGAACATCTCCACTCTTAGCATAGCGCTCATACGCGTACGCCAGTGTCGCTGGTGGTGACGACTTCGTACCGCCAAACCCAAATACTGCCTCGGTAGCTGGGCTCACCCGCTGAATCAACAACGACTGATTCAAATCCAGTATACGCAGTGCGTCAGCTTCTGTGAGAATATGTATACCATTATCAAAGCTAAACGGAGGGTCTACCCAGTACTCTGCCGGATCAGTAGTGAAGGCTGGCGCAGTTCCTCCCAAGTAGAGACTATGACTGCCCCTGCGGCTATCAGTCACATAAACAGCCACCGCATCGTCACCACACCACTGTAGGCTCACTCTCGTACACGTCGACATCGGCGAGGCCGCATCCGCCACACTGCTGGGTACCGGGGGACAAAACGGGTCGGAATTTTGTGGCGCAGTGACGCTAGTAGTAGTAGGAGGAACTCGACGCTGTGCTGTTGCCACGTCACCAGGAGTGACCACCAGAGACCCACTTCCAGCAGCCGGGACGATGGGGATAGCCTCCGCAGATGGAGGGGGGACGGGCGGCTGATGATACTCAGGATTCAGATCGGGAGATGTGGGCAATATGCGGAATCGGCCGCAATCCGATAGCAGGGCAACCTGCAAGGATATAGGCTGAAAAACGTCACGCGCCACAAAATTACCATATGTCCCGAAAAACTTTTTGCCATAGAAATGACCACTCCCAGTGGTCTCCTAAAATCGTCATTAAATTCCTGCTTCGCTCCGCTTCCACTTTCTGGTATCGTCAACGCCCCCGTGAGTATTTCCTCCTGCCGACCGTTTTTGTCCAGTACCAACACCCTTCCTCTGCTGGCACCAACGCCCACCGCCCCTGCAGTATTGCTACTGTTCTCTCCCTCCTCCTCCTCAACACTGATGAGGCACCTCACATCGTTACTACTCTTACTAGGCCCCTCCAGGGGGAGTACACACACCGGTCGAGTTCGCGGTGGTAGTGAGCCCAGCAAAATCAAATTCATACCGTTTTTCCACCCAATGCACGCATGCACACGGCCAGCAGCAGTGACCAAAACCATGCCATCAGACGAAGTTCTAATAATTTCAACCCCGCCTTCCTCCCTCAGCAGCTTCTCCTGAGGTAGTGTATACCGATAGACAACCTCACCTGTGGTCGTGGTCGGGGACAGTAGCACCACGGTTAGATCAGAAGCGACCACCCCGAGTAAAATACTACTGCTACCACTCTCAGCAGTCGGGCTATGATCAACCCACTGCAGAGCTATAACGTCCCTAGTTGGTATAGGAATACACGATAAAAGGGTGCCTACACACTATAGTTGAAGAATCATTCAAACCGACGATCGAGATTCACCTGCGGCCGTGTAGATTCTTATAACAGCCCGGCTAGTGCTGTCCACTTCCTGCAGTGTCTTATCATTTCTGACCACCGCAAGGAGGCCTCCAAAAACGTCACTCGCCACAATATTCTTCTCAGTGAACATATCAGCCTTCCTAGCACCAGTCCACATGGAGCTGACCCCAATGCCCGGCTCCCCGATTCTTCCGTTCTCACCGCAAGCATACAACTCTCGAACACGATACCAACTGGAACGGCTGCTGCTCCCACCCAGAGGATACCAAAAATCTGTCGGTTTTACAGCGCCGCCAACTTCCGCGGGGTTAGCGGACATAAGAAAAAAAAGAGACTTCGCACCTATGAGTAATTCTCACGACTAAACGCAACTGCTGATAAATGGAAAATTATGAAATTTTTTACACTCTTTAACCAGCAATTTTCCGATAGAAAATATACAATATTGCGAGGCCAATGGCAATGGCGATGGCGGTGAGGACCATGCGATTAGCCATAGCTCGCCGCGCCATAGTACTGATGGTTCGGCGGGCTGTAGCCAGGTTGGAGTCGACCTCGTTGAGGCTGTTGCCCGTACGGGAAATCACTTCACGTTGTGACCTGTAGACGGCAAGGGCGTTTGAAAATCTTGGAGATATATATATACGTATACTGGGACCATGTTATGTATCACACATGAAACTCACATGAGCCTACTCTCAAGGGCTGTCCTGGTGGATAGCTACGTACATATGCCCCATCTTGTGATCAAGGGGTGGAGGAGGAAGCAGAGACCAAAACATGTTTTTATACGGATGATGAATGTGATGTTTATAGATATCTTATTTTTGAGGAGATTTCAACATAATTATGAACATATTTCTCAACGGCGAAGCAAACTCAAATTGACGTATAGAAAAAAGTTGACCCTTGAAAGCTATCTGTGGAGGGAAAGAAGTCATTTCCCTGGATAGAACCAGAGAGCTTTCATGGTGCATCATCCGAGAAACGACTTCGTGGGGACTGACTCTGGTTCTATCCAGGGAAATCACTTCCCTGAGGGAAGTTCCCTCCCTCCACAGATAGCTTTCACCCTTCAAAATTTCGGCGAACATCTTTTCCATTTCCGGAAGTATATTCCAAGTATTATCAAGCCTCCTTCCTACAATACCCGTTAATACCGTAAATCGGACATAACCCCAACAGCGATGTCCTCCGTCTCGAGAGCTGTCCTCTTCGCATCGCGTAGTTGACTAGAACTGTCGCGCAACCTAAAGAGATCACTAAAGCCTCGATAAACGGTAAATGAGTGTTTGGATACATCTCAGTGGAATCCATAAGCCTCTGCCTGTCTTCTTGCCGAGATCGTCCCTCCTCCATTCTACTACTGCCAGTGACGGAGTTGTTGTTGTAGCCTTGATTATTCATGGTGAGATAGCTCAACTGGTATCCGGGCACACTTGCATCGTAACGACCCCGGATCGATCCTAGCACATCATGTTGATCAACCCAACACTAAATATTCGAAAGAGTCCCCCAAGTTTGCTAAAGATACGACGCTGCTCACGAATGGCGATTAATTGGGCGCGCGCTTTTTGCAATGGTGTGAGAGATGTGCCCCGCGGGAAAATTTGAAACTATCTGAAGGACAAGGCCCTTCTACTTACCCTAATATTCGTACAATCACAGTGCGCTACTGAATATCGATTATCTATATGATAAAACATGATATCGATCATGCGTAGTACACAGTTGAAAATACCACTACTGAAGACAAGGAGCACCGCCTACCCCTCGTCGAGACCAACAGATGGAGTGCGACAGATCACGTTTGACTGACCGTCAAATCGGATATCACCCAAATGCTGCTCTCATAAACCAATTCGATTGGCAACTAAACAAATCACGGCACCCCTCGGAACGCGCGCGTGCTTCCACATATCAAAAAAGCCAACACGTAGCAACGATGCGATGCTACTGACTCGACTACACTGTTGAGAAATAACATCGATTTCCTCAGCTGAGCTTAGCATTTTTCAGCGCTATATTGTGAGAATATGCTAGGGTAGAAGTGGGAAAAAAACCAACAAAAATATCCCAAAATTTTCTCAAATCTCATTGTTGCCATCAATACCCATAGTTGATCGTGTGCACACTTTCCCACAGTGCTCGACTATGAATAGAACTCAACAAAAATAAATGGCAAAAATAAAAGTATCATCATAACGTGACATCCAACCACGCGTTTCCCTACGACGACTAAGGGTACCTAAACGATGAGAATTCACATATGAAGTTTATTTACACGCAACTTACCATCCCTTGTCGCCTCCTGAACGCAGAGGATCCCAAAAGTATCTGAGAAAAGTTCAGAGATGGACCTCCCAGAACCGTGGGGAGGAAGACCTACAGCGAGCGTTTCGATACGTTCCAAATTCCAAGTGTCATCGCTTCCTTATACGGATCATCGAACCAGCCAAATAGATACCTGACAAGACGCGATCAAATCGCCATCTTGAGACTGCGCAATAACCTACCACATGAGACTGGGGTACAGGGCGATTTGGAAGGGCAGCATGCGGTGGTAGACTTGCCTCCAACCCCACCTGACAAGAGGAGTTATGAAGAGGAATTGAGGAGGGGTCGTTGGTACTTCTTCCTGGCGGCAAACTGCTCGGTCATACCCCATAACCTGTGATACACTGCGAGGGTCATTGAAGTGCACCAAAGTCAGCAGCTCAAGAACGACTTCGCCCACGAGACGAAGATGTAAGACGATAAAAAAGCTGCACGGAGAATGGCTGCTCTCTGTGAGAACCGGGATGAACACGCGTGCAAGATGCGTCTTTGAAAATTTCGCGCACGCCACAAAAATGGCGCGCCCTACAACATGGTGTAAACCGAAACAGCTTCACAAGTGAGCAACGCGCCTCTATCGACCACAATAAGGACGTACTACTGATCACACTATGTTGAGATGATGATGAAACTACTACCCATCAGTTGATACTAATCAATAGCATTCGGTGAAGAGTGTGGCCAACGTATGCGTGCAATACAGTAGATAATACTTGAGCGAGCTCAACATATAACAAGTCGATACAACGCAAGATCGGTGTAAAATAATTAGAAAACAACGATACAATCACCATGCTTCGCTCCGCTAAGGATTAGAATCCCCACTGGATGTACTCAATACCCTGCCCTTTGAGATCACTAATTATCGCCTCCTGACGCGTTTTGTGATCGACTAACAAAGAGGTCCCGAAAAGCAACGATTCTCATCTTCACTTACAGCCTTTGATTTTCCTCACAATTTTGCCGTGCCACTCAATAGCCACCCACTTCACTCTGCTGGGTAGTACTCTCGAGTCAAGGAGCTCCCGGACTACTGTGTACATGAAAAACGACAGCCCCAGGGATCGAACCCGAGACCTCCCGAATGCCAAACCCCAAACTACTCCGCTCCCTCTATATCGACTTTGAGGAAAACTTGCTGACGATAACCGTCCAGCACAACTCTTCTGATCCATTCAATGAAATCCACAACGCAACCATCCGTTTTCCATTCACCTGCACCCATGCATCATTTCTGACATTTCAATATCCATTTTCAAGCACCCAGGTTCGATTCCCACAGACCTTGTTTTCTCTCCATAGATTGTCGATCATACAAGCTAGTCCCGACCGACCGGTCCTTTCTTGCCTCCTCATCCTTCCTATCAGCTCTGTCGTGTACTGTCGAATCATGAAAGTATCTGTTAAACCATGGCATCCTCTCGAAGAGGTCACAACAAGATCATTGATAATGTTAATGAGTATATATATAATGGAGTTTCCCGTTTTTCGTGAAGTGGCGTCGTAAAACTCGGTGAAAAACGCGATATTCGTGGCCTGTAGTAGTCGTGAAATGTGTTTTTCGCTAGTGTTTTTCACATCACTAGGGTAGTGAAACTCCAAGGATATGTCTATCTGTACGATAATATTCCTAATAATCTACGGTAATGATAAAATACTAGTAATAATAGTAATACTACATAATAACATAATACATAAACATAATACTTCCTAATAATAGTAAATATAATACTGTATAGATGATAATGATTTCATATCAATTTATTAACATATTTTATCTTATAACACACCCCAATGCAAATGAGTGATACAAATACTCCGAAAATGGAAATCTCCTCAATTTCTTCACCAACTTGAATGATCAGGATGGAGTCTTTTCGAGGGCCGATTTTCACTCCAATACGCAGATGGGAATTCATCATTTCGGTACAACAAGTTCCAGCAGAATTTCCCATTCTGTGCCAAGAAATTTGAGCGTCGTTTTTCAGCGGAAAATTACAGTTCTGAAATTTAAAATGAAATTTCGTAAAATTTAATTATACACCTTACGGGGTTTCACCTTAGGGGGAGTTGAATCCCTAGTACCCGATGCTCTTAGTAGTGTTCCACGCTCCAGCCAAGATAACCTCACACACTGCCAAGTCGCTGTAAGATGCGCATCGAGCCTTAAGTTCGTCTTCCCATAACGGGTTGAGGTCGAACAGATATACTTCCCATTCGCCCAAATTAATATCACCCTGAAGAAAATCAAAAAATATCAGTGCAGTAGCCACTTATATTTTACTGAGCATTTCGAACTCCCAGTCTGCCGATGGAAGATTTATACATTCTCATATTTCTGCAGAATAGGAAGTCCGATAGTGACGAAGTTTAACAAAAGATCTGTTTCTTTCACTCGATTCTAGTAAAAAAAGCCACAATTTTCATTGGTATCATCAATTTCACAGAAAAACTTTTCTTCGAAGTTAAATGTCTAAATTCCCCCCACGAACGGACGGGTGAAGCAGAACTGACCTCGGCTAAAGTGCTCGGTGCGAAATCATTAAAGAAGTACTTGAGTGAAGATCCATCGTTGGCACCAAGGTCTATATAAACCTTCTTCCCACGATAGCCACCCGTGTCCCCCGAGGGGCCGATCAAAGCACGTTGGCTGCACTCATCGAGAAGAGTATCTTGAGGTTCATCTTGGTAAGATACAAAATAGGTCAGGTTGAGGCTCGTTGGCACTCTCAAAACAGTGCTCCAAGTTGGTCTACGATAATTCCATAGCACATAGAGTCCAGCAACAAGACTCAACAATGCAGTGAGAGGCGATACTGCCGACGTCAAGTTACCAGACATAATAACGAGAAGAACCGGGCAAATAATCTCTCTGCGGCTTCCACTCGATCAATGCATCGCTCCGCTAAGTTTCGATTTCATGTTTCACATTTTGTTCCAAAAAATCTTGAACGCATTACTCTGGTTTAACTGGTTTAGGTTGATGAGCGTTTCACTCGTTACTCGTATAATATACCATGTCAGACTTCGTGTAAAATAAAAATTACTTTACAAGAGCGGTCTTGAAGAATCTCGGGAGCGCATGTATTGAACAGAACAGAATTGGAGTGTTGGGGAGGCGTTTAGAATTAATAAGTGGGAAGCAACGACACTGAGAGTATGTAATAAGAAGTTGAAAATGTGAGATTTTGACACACGATTATATCCACGTAGCTTTACAATATTAATTTGCAAAACGGTTTTGGAAGGTGCTCCTCTCGAGTTCGAACTTGATCTTGTCCAGTTCGGTGTAATCGATATCATCAGTATGTTTCACAGGGGCCTTCTACACCTAGCCAGGCCTCGAGTGTTCTTCGATGTCAAGATCGGCAAGGCCCCAGCTGGAAGGGTGGAGTTCATGCTCTTCAACGGTGAGTATCTTCCTTTTCGAAACGAAGATACTCTCTGCACGCATGCACATCGATTAGATTCGGTCATTACACTCCCATAGTAGTCTCAGATGTTTGTCCACTGACTGCCGAGAACTTCCGAGCTCTTTGCACCGGAGAGAAAGGCCTCGGTGCATCGAATAAGCCCCTGTTTTACAAGGACTCTCGCATGCATCGTATTATACCCAAATTCATGATACAGGTTAGTTCGGTCTTCTCTAAGGCTCCTCTGATGTATTCTTTTCAGGGCGGTGATTTCACCAAAGGCAACGGCACCGGCGGGGAGTCCATCTACGGTTTCCAATTCCGAGACGAAAATTTCGACTTGAGACATAACGAGGTAAACTCTACTCCTTTCCCACTCTAGTTTGTCTCCTCAGCCATTCCTGCTCTCTATGGCCAACGCCGGTCCCAACACCAATGGCAGTCAGTTCTTCATCACCACTGTACCCTGCCCTTGGTAACACTGTTTTCATCGTTTCCAATCGAGGATGTGTTTTCAGGTTGGACGGCAAACATACCGTTTTCGGCAAGGTCGTGGCTGGTACTGACGTAGTGAAGAAAATGGAGTCCGTAGGCACCAATCGTGAGTATCTTATGTTCCTCCGTGTATGATACAAAGTATGTCCAGAAGGTTCCCCTCGAGAAGATGTGGTTATCACCGATTGTGGAGAATTGAAAGAGTGAAGGCATCATGTCTTTCGTCGTTTCTGTTTTGCTCTATGCGAATTTGGTTCAGTATGGGAAAGTATGCACACGGTCAACTACATAGTCGAAAATTTCGGAAAGTTTTCGCAAATTTCTAAACACATTTACCCAAGTTCGCATACAACCTCCTCGATTAAGTTAGAAAGTTGCTGAGTGCAGCTGAGGGAAGCGAATATATATTCCTCCAACACTTGGTAAACTCGACGAAAAATGCATCGTACAACAACTACATGAAGAACACCAACATCATTTTATGCGTTTCATTATGTCATTATATTAGTAAGTTTAATACGTCTTTCATGTTTTCTTTATACGTCTCGCTTCTTCCAAATTCGCTTTCCAGTTTCTCCACTTGTCCTTTTCGTGTGTCCCTTTTACAATTTTTCGCTGGAAATTTTCCACAATTTCTACCATTTTCACCATATTTTTTCGATGAAATGACCATATCCATTCTGCCCTGCCCTTGTATTTCACATACCCTTCATGTGGGTGGGCCAATATGATCTTTGCGGCTTTTAGACAACCGTCGTTATCAATAGGAAGGCTCTTCAACTTTTCAATAGCATCACCCGTGAGATCTCCCAATGGAAAAATCTCTTCGAAAAATTCCCAATCTTCCAATACGTCCTTTGCCTCCCCTCTGGCCCACACTCTTGTGTTATTATAAGCGACCAGTACGTCAACATACCCGAGAGCTCGTGAACTGAAAAGAAACAGAATTGAATCAGAAGCTCTGCAAGGAGGAACTCACAAATGAGCTCGTTGATTGCGTTTAGTATCCATGTAGGTGGTTAAAGTAACTCCAGTAGGCGGATCGATGGCGAAGCGAAACTCCTTGACGCCGAGGACCATGTGTGGTTCATGAAGCTTGAACTCCTCCTCGATTATACCGCAATGTGTTTTACCAGCAAAGGAGCTTACCTGAATCGGGGATGTACGCGGTAGAAATCATCAGTAACCTCACCTTGAGTGTTTCATACGCGTATAACAGGCGGGGCTCATCGTAGGAGGCTTGAGAGACACTCAGGAGGACGAAGGGTAGGAGTTGTTGAAACATGCAAAGCAACGCAACGCTGAGCGAATCAGGGAGTTTCCATTCTGCGCTGTTGGCTACGCGCTCGCCCATAAAATGGTCCCACCAGGCGCCTGCTCATGCCCGCCCCTAAATTTCTCGCCGCGCCCCTAAATTCCTCAACCCGCCCCTAAAGTACTCAAACCGCCCCTAAATTACTCATGCTTGCCCCTAACCATTTTCTTCGGTGTACGACCACTATACGTGCTTTCTAGGACTATTGACCAGTGTCCACATATTAGGTAGAGTCTACGTTGACTTTCCGTCATGCCAAGGAAGTTGAGAGCGCCAAATCGCTCCCATCCTAGATCTTTGGGGCACGTGGATATGATATTCGAGACACCGAAGTTCAGCAATCATTGACATTGACGGTCAAATTCCGTCCACGCTCCCCCACTCTATAGTTCACAGAATCTGGGTGTATACTTGAACTGTATCAGAATAGCCACGGATATGATATTCGAGACACCGAAGTTCAGCAATCATTGACATTGACGGTCAAATTCCGTCCACGCTCCCCCACTCTATAGTTCACAGAATCTGGGTGTATACTTGAACTGTATCAGAATAGCCACGGATATGATATTCGAGACACCGAAGTTCAGCAATCGTTGACATTGACGGTCAAATTCCGTCCACGCTCCCCAATTCTATAGTTCACAGAATCTGGGTGTATACTTGAACTGTATCAGAATAGCCACGGATATGATATTCGAGACACCGAAGTTCAGCAATCGTTGACATTGACGGTCAAATTCCGTCCACGCTCCCCCACTCTATAGTTCACAGAATCTGGGTGTATACTTGAACTGTATCAGAATAGCCACGGATATGATATTCGAGACACCAAAGTTCAGCAATCGTTGACATTGACGGTCAAATTCCGTCCACGCTCCCCCACTCTATAGTTCACAGAATCTGGGTGTATACTTGAACTGTATCAGAATAGCCACGGATATGATATTCGAGACACCGAAGTTCAGCAATCGTTGACATTGACGGTCAAATTCCGTCCACGCTCCCCCACTCTATAGTTCACAGAATCTGGGTGTATACTTGAACTGTATCAGAATAGCCACGGATATGATATTCGAGACACCGAAGTTCAGCAATCGTTGACATTGACGGTCAAATTCCGTCCACGCTCCCCCACTCTATAGTTCACAGAATCTGGGTGTATACTTGAACTGTATCAGAATAGCCACGGATATGATATTCGAGACACCGAAGTTCAGCAATCGTTGACATTGACGGTCAAATTCCGTCCACGCTCCCCCACTCTATAGTTCACAGAATCTGGGTGTATACTTGAACTGTATCAGAATAGCCACGGATATGATATTCGAGACACTGAAGTTCAGCAATCATTGACATTGACGGTCAAATTCCGTCCACGCTCCCCCACTCTATAGTTCACAGAATCTGGGTGTATACTTGAACTGTATGGGAATAGCCACGGATATGATATTCGAGACACCGAAGTTCAGCAATCATTGACATTGACGGTCAAATTCCGCCCACGCTCCCCCATTCTTTAGTTCACAGAATCTGGGTGTATACTTGAACTGTATCAGAATAGCCACGGATATGATATTCGAGACACCGAAGTTCAGCAATCGTTGACATTGACGGTCAAATTCCGTCCACGCTCCCCCATTCTATAGTTCACAGAATCTGGGTGTATACTTGAACTGTATCAGAATAGCCACGGATATGATATTCGAGACACCGAAGTTCAGCAATCGTTGACATTGACGGTCAAATCCCGTCCACGCTCCCCCATTCTTTAGTTCACAGAATCTGGGTGTATGCTTGAACTGTATCAGAATAGCCACGGATATGATATTCGAGACACCGAAGTTCAGCAATCGTTGACATTGACGGTCAAATTCCGTCCACGCTCCCCCACTCTATAGTTCACAGAATCTGGGTGTATACTTGAACTTTATCAGAATAGCCACGGATATGATATTCGAGACACTGAAGTTCAGCAATCGTTGATATTGACGGTCAAATTCCGTCTACGCTCCCCCACTCTATAGTTCACAGAATCTGGGTGTATACTTGAACTTTATCAGAATAGCCACGGATATGATATTCGAGACACTGAAGTTCAGCAATCGTTGATATTGACGGTCAAACTCCATCCACGCTACCCCACTCTATAGTTCACAGAATCTGGGTGTATACTTGAACTTTATCAGAATAGCCACGGATATGATATTCGAGACACTGAAGTTCAGCAATCGTTGATATTGACGGTCAAATTCCGTCCACGCTCCCCCACTCTATAGTTCACAGAATCTGGGTGTATACTTGAACTGTATGGGAATAGCCACGAGACTCGCAGTGCGAGTCATCATCAAGCAGTTACGTTACTATCTAGAAGACCGTTTCAGCATTTGCTAATTCGGTTGACCACTAAGTAGCTTAAGGGCGACAGGCATTATCTGCGGGGCGGCATAAAGTCACGACCGTGAAGCATTGCCAGTGACCACCCGCTGACTTGCAAGGCACACATCGGCGGCCAACTTATACATATCCTCTCACTGAAGAAACAATTTATCGCATATCTCCAACCTCTACCCCAGATTCAGATTCACCGTTCACTTTGGTGGGATAGTTCAATTAGAACGGTTCCAGAACCAAGTAAACGCCCCAGAACAGAGCGTTTACTCTGTCTTAGCTACTCTA